AATGGCACAAGGGAACACCCTCATTTGTTGCTGTTTGATGTCTCCACAGGGAGGGAGACATAAAATGTGCTTTTTTTTCATATCTCCTATCCAAAATAAGGTGTAACTTCCCTAAAAGCTGGGAGGTGGGATACTGGTTTAAAGCATTCAGAAAGAAAAAGGAGTGTTATTGATCACTTGTGCAAAACAGGAGCTCCCAGTTCCCAGGGGATTTCAGCTGCTCCCAAAGAGAGAGGTCAGTTTTCCTGAGCTCAGAAGCTGCTGGGGACAAAATAAATCTCCCTGGCCCGGGATGGAGCACCCTGCAGTGCTCCACCTGCAAGGGCACAGCACGATTTTCATCTCCCAGTGCTTCACTGCATCCCACAGAGGGATGTGCTGCTGTGTAAAAATATGTTCTCTCACACATTGCCAGTCTGTCACCAAAATCCCTTCCTGACTAGAACAAGCAAGGAGACAGGACTAAGGCAAGAAAAAAACACACAAATTTCAGTATTGAACCACCTTCTATGCTCATTTTTATTTCAATGATCTTGACTACAATTCTAGCAAAAATCCATTTGTTGATTGATACTAGCTGCTCCTGCTAATAAACACTTGGTAAGAGAAGGATGAGCCTGTGAGTGGTGATGGCTGAGCTGCTTTCAGCAACAGTCTGGAAGAGACAACTGGAAACACCCAGCTACTTCTCTGTCCTTGCTGGAAAATAATCCCTTGGACACTGATGAGTCACAACTAAGTCTGTGGGGGCAAAGAGGAAAGCTATGCTACCAAAATGTAACAGAGAGTGCAAATCCCCTAAGGCTCCCAAGTGGCTGCACACCACAGCCTCTTCAAAGCTGAGGAAAAGGGCTGTGTGCCACCCCTCACCCCTGGGGTTTGTTTAAAATGAATATTTTCCAATCCAGAGGAGGATCTCCAGGAGGTAATTCAGATCTGGTACAGAAACAGAGGACACCTGGTGGTGTTTAGTTGTTAGCATATAAAAACAGCAATCCAAGTCAGATGTGTGTGCAGCTGCACCAGCAACAATTAACAGAACCCACGCTTTAAATAAATAAAAGATGGAGTGATGGAGAATTTCAAATAGTGCAATCACAGAAACACACAGAAATTTCAAACAAACAACACAAGTTGTTGATTCCAGATGCTGCCACTACTTTATGAAAATGAATTTTTTAACGGTTACAGGCAAGAAGCAGCAACTCTACACTCATCAGAGTCTGCCACCTCCACCAAACAGACACTTCTGTGGAAAAGTAGGACAGATTCCCCACTACTGCAAAACAGAAGGGCACAAAGTTGACAATTTTGTCAGAGAAAGATCCACGGAGGCAAGAGCAGAGGAAGAACCAATTGAGCAGAGTCTGGGGCAGAAAAACCACCCAAAGTGAGGTACTCAGCACCTCCCAAAGCACAGCATTCCCAAGCTGCAGAGAGGAGCCACACGGGAGAGCTGAGCCCAGCTCCAGACTGCCACCAGCCATGGACTGACAGACCGTGAGCACTCAGATTCCTGAGTCAGGTTAGTGAAACTATTATTTTAATTGCAGGTGCTGTTATTAACTTAATTCTGTGGAGACCCAAACTGGAATTTTCTATTGTGCAATAGATACAGTGAGCTGCAAATATCTCTTGGAATTCAGACACCGAACAGTCAATCTGTGTGAGACTGCTCACTCTAAGGAGCTGGAGAGCACAGGGGTAGCAAGGCAGAAAAAAACCACCCCTACACATGCATTTATGTGGGGGGCTATTCAAAGCGTGCATCTTATTTCCAAAAAACGAAATAAAGGCTCAAGGTCACACTCCTGTCACGCTCTCTGTAGCAGGTATTAGAACTTACTTGGCTGGAAAGGAATTAATAAAAGCAAAAGACTGTGCAACATGCAGAATGTTGTTCCCTGCCTTACACAACTTTAATGCATCAACTCAATCGCAGCCAAGATTTTCAGTGCAAAAATTCTGTTAAAAAACCCCAAACAAGTGCTTTTCTCTTTTGAACCAGCGCTGTCAACAGAAGAAGAGATCTCATCTCTCCTGCTTATACCAACGCAAACGTGTGGTGAAGCACACCGGTGACCTGGTTAAAACCAGACTGGTTTAAAAAGCCCCAACAACCCCAAACAGTTGGTTTGAACCCACATCAATTCCCCAATCTGTTCTGATGTGCAGCCACGCAAACACCCACACTGATACAAGCGGGTAGAAGAAAACTGCTCCCTTCATCAGCAGTGCTGGCTGAGACTGAAAGTCAGACTGAAGACCTTCTGGTGTTTGCAGGCTTTTTTACCAAAGTTAGCAAAGCAAAACTTCCACTGAAAAACAGATTAGAGGCCAAGCTCGGAATCAGGATGAGATGTAATAGAGCTCTACATGAGCTTTCAGATGAGCTCTGAGTTTTATCCCACATGACAATTAGTCTCAACGCTGACTGTGCTGCTGGAAACAAAGTCAATTTAAAAGTCAGCACTAGATGCAAGAAACAAACTTTAGATTTAGCTTAAAATACAAAAAAGTCAGCCAAGGAAGAATTGCAAAGAACAAGTTGTAGTGAAGTTGAAAAACAGGGCCTTTAATTTTTTTGAACAAAATCCACCTTGGAAGCCTGAAGGAGAGAATTTGAGCGGCAAAAATAGAGGCGGAGATGGAATATTCTGCAATATTTCAGCAACCTCTTCTCCAGATTTTCTCTAATATTCAAATATCCAAGGGAAAATGCCCCAGATATAATACCCTCTCAAAAGTTTCCTTTGTTACCTTAATTTTTAATGTCAGCCAACAGTATAACTTCCTTCTGAAAGGTTACCTGTCTGAAAATTTTCAAAGAAACTTCCTCTTTTTTACTTATTCCATACCCTCCATAATAACATATATAGAGGCCTTCAGCTTCTAATTTGATTTAATAAAAGTAGACTTCTTTATAGCAGCAAAGAAGGTAAATAGAATTTAGGAAACAAACTTGACCAGTAAGTCAGTATAAATATTTGAAAGCTTTTGCATTAAATTTTCTAAATAATGACAAAAAGAACCTGCCAAGCAATACCAGTTACTTATATCAGCAAAATGTTTCTTTGTGGACTTCCATAGATTGTTCTGTAGTTAGACCATTCTCTCAAAAGTAATGCAAAATCTTTGGCTAACCTAAGCAACAGGAAAAAACTTAAAATGTAAGCTCAACAAATCTGCTGTCCTTTGTATTGTGTGCCATGAAGTATTTAAATAATAATTATTAATTATTGGTAATATATAGATGCAGCATTTAATATCAATGTGTTATTAATGTCTTTAATAACTAAAATACTTTTACTAAGGAAAAAATAAGGTCCATGATCTGACTTATGAGCAGTTAAATCAGTTCAGAGACATTACTGGGCACTGAATCGCAATCCTAGGGGAGAACAAAGTCTCCAAATCCCAGCCATAATTGGACCTTTGGGGCCTTATTATTCAGAGTAATAAAAATTCAGTAGTTATAATGTGATTATTTCTAAAACAAACACATTCCTCTTAGCATGCTACAGCTTCTCCTCTGAAAGTGAATATTCAGAAGGGTCCCTCTGACTGCATCATTTGATGTAGAAAAGCTCAGAAAAGTGCAGTTTTATGGTGGAACCTGCCTCACACCACTAAAGTTTTATATTGTTTGCCAATACAAGATTGTTCTCTTGCTTCAGGTGCTCTCTTCCAAAAATCCCAATGCCCATTTACCAAAGGTTTATCTGTCTTCAGAATAATAATTCTATAGATGGTGACTTAGCTGTGTATATCAAACTTCCTGGGGTGTAACAAAGTTACAGAACATTTCATATTTGTTTCAGCAGATATTTTGAGGCCAGTGATGTTTAAAGATGTTACTGTGTTTGGAATTTAGTGAGAGCATAAACTTATCTCTGACTGCCGGCCTTTCCTCAGACCTCAGGTAGGGAAATTTGAAAACTATAAACCATAGGAAGATAAAATGTGATTTTTGGGTACCAGATGCAGACAAGTGTAAAATCAAGAGGGAACAAGACACACTTCAATTTCATGAGGCACATTTTTACATTTAGAGCTCAGGCAGGTTTATTATGTAGGACTTGAGCATTCAAAGCAAGGCAGGCTCAGCACGAGGAGAGCGTGAGACAGCCCTGAGCACAACCGGCATGATTAAACGCTGTGGGTTTGTGTTTGTGTTCCCCGGGGGATGTGTGAAGAACTGTAACGCCAGCAACAAGTCCTGAGGAAAGCCTCAGAACAGGATAAAACGTGAATTAAAAAAAAAAAAAATAAAAGTAAGAGGAGAAAAAACAGTCAAAGAAGGAGAACAGAATTGTGATGACCTAAAATTTAGATGAAGCAGCGCGGGGAGGGTGGAAGACTAAATGTTAGGCCTACATGCTGAACATCATGTCATGGTGCTTGGTTTGGTGGGACAGCACAGCTTGGAGGGACAAGGAGGGGACAGGAGGGGACACTGAGGGGACA